ATGCAGTGACGCGGAGACTACTTCCCAACCCTTCTTTTGAAAAAAAAAAAAAAAAAAAGGTAATTGAACAAAAAATAGAATGGACCGATACTCTCAAATACCTAAGTATAACCTTCGACAATAAGCACTCGTGGAAGGCAAACTTCAAATCCAAACGAACTCAAACTGCCTAAACATTGCATTTCTTCTACCCTCGTATCAGCAAGAAAAACCTTAATATGAAGAATAAAGTCAACCAGGACTACTCTATGGTAGTATTGCGTTCTGCCAAGCGCCAAACCCCAAATTAAAAATTCTTCAAAGAGTGCAAAAGAAAATTGGTTAATGTCGCGTTGTACATAAGAGGGGCGGATATTCAAAGAGATCTGAGAGTCGATTCAGTCGAAAAATACATTGAAGATCGTAAACTAAAACTGTTCAACATAATTGACAGTCACAACAACAACCTAAAAACACAGCGAAATCTGTTAAACACAGGCAGATACAAAGACATCAGATCCATCATTTCATAAAGCCCCCATATTCAGTTATTCTTAGTGTGATTTGAAACTGTCCATAGATGAAATAGAGTTAAGATGATAATCACCTACACACGCATACACTTGAACAGATGATTAGAATATTCGATAAAATATTCGATGAGAGTTTGCAATATATCGCTTATTGCTTTCTCATAGTTAAATTCTGTCGTTTCTTATTTGAGGAGAGACTTCACAAGAGATTAGCGTTGCTCTCCACGAACTATTTTAAAGACTTTAACAAGAGACTTTCTGTCTTGTGACACTCGAGACCAATAGAATACAGCAGTTGATGTATTGTATGTAAAACTACGTTAATTCTTGTAGGTGAAACTACATGATTTCAAAATATTTTGTGACATATTGGAAAATGAATCTCCAAAACATATACTTCATGTACTTAGGATATGTTTCCATTAATCGATTTCGTTTATATAGATTTTTCTAATATTTTAATTTTGGTTCCAAAATATTAATAATAATTTTTTTTCTTAAATAATCTAAATACTCTGATGTAAAAGTCAAATATATATATAAAACAATAATTCTACACATTTTTTATTTTCCTGTTTTACAATTTTAAATATGTTTCTAAATTAATAGTAGACAGACTTATCTTTCACAATAGTTGGCAGAATAACACCATCAGCGATATCACTGTGGGTGATTTCTGTTTGGTACTGCATAAAATTTACCGAGTATAATAATAGTTTCTCAAAGTAAACGCTTTTATTTTATCATGTCAAATCACTACCGTGCAAACTGTTCTAGAAATTCTCATGATAAATATTACGATTGTTCAAGCGAGCATGATATGAGGCCGCGCAACTCTAGGCGTAATAATCACCAAAGATCTACTAATGTACTACAAAATCTAGGTGATCTTAAAGAATTTTACGATCAACTACAAAAATTTGCAGACCTTACGCATGAAATCTTTAGAAAATACTCGAATAACAGACACTGCAATTGTTCGCCTATGGTTAGTATTCCACAAAAACATAACAACAAACATTGCTGCCATCACAACTGTCAACATAGACGAAAATGTTCAACAGAGCGAAAACATCCGCCGCAAATACATTACGAACGAGAAGAAAGTCGTCCGTCTGGCAGTCAGCAGAGACATAGTTCACAACAATATAATGATCGGTCAGGTTGTAGTTGCGTATCCAACAGAAAACAATTGCCAAAACTATCAAATCATTCTTCAATGTGTATGATATTAGAAAATTCGGATTATTCAAAATGTAAAAGAAGGTCATTACCAGAAAATCAAGGAACCTGTGGAGCTAACAGTTCAATGAATGAACACTATAATAAATGTTCTCGGTACCCGGAAAGAAGTAAAAAATGTGGTGGATTTTTTCACGGTAATAATAACTGTAGTGATTCGCAACGCGGCGATACTCTAAAACAGAGAGAAACTAACGACAATCTTGAGTCGTGCACTTGCGACTATTGTCAATGTATGCCAGATATCTATAATGGGAATAATATTTTTATGGACATAGGCTCTGATGACGAATTTGAAGATAGTGATTCCTTGAATTACACATTTAAAGCAATACGTTTGGAACCTGTTGACATTCTGTTACAAGATTGTCTTGAAACTGAAAATGGACAATGCACAACGTCAGATAAAAACACACAAACATTTATGCAAGATGTAAATGAGAGCACAAGAAACAATTGTATGATCAACAAAGAAGTTCAAACAGAACCCTTTGGTAAGAATAATAATAATAAATCTTTTGCTGAAAGTACAAAAAAAACTTCTGGTCAATTTGACAACGATCAACCAACGTCTGAAGAAAATTTTCAAACTGCAAGAAATTCGTTCGAACCAAATATATCATCTCCAAAAGAATCTAAAAGAGAAAATTCTCAGTCAAAATCGTTTTCAGAAAAAGAGCAGATTAAGAATAATGAAAATAATGACGATGAAAATAATCAAATTTCGGAATCGAAACCGATTCAGGTGGGAAGTATAGAAGAGTCTTCCAAAGTTGAAAGTATTCAAGATATACACAAAGAATCAAAAGAGTTTGAAAAAGAATCTCCCGCCGTTGAAAACAATCAAATTAAAGATAAGGAAGACCCCAGTTTCGAAACTGAGAGAACTAATCCCTCTGCAGATAAAAGTAAACAAAACAATGTTGATAAAGAAGATGATAAAACAAGACCAGAAGGAGGACGAAACGCAGAGTTTTTCGACATTGAAATTAATCAAATTCAAAGTAAAGAGAAGTTTGGTTATGAGATTAGAAGTACTCAGCGCTCTACATATAGAAATGAACAAATTGATAAGGATAAGGAAGATGTTGAGACAGCAAGTGGAAGAAACGCAAACAAGCCAAGTTACGAAAGTAGAAATGTTCGTCGTTCTGTAGATGGAAGTAAACAAAACGATATTGATAAAGATGTTGAAACAAGATCAAAAGGTGAAAAAAACATAGGAGAGCTTTTTGATAATGAAAATAATGCGATTAGAGACAAGAAAGAATCGAGTTACGAAACTGATAGTAGTCATCGCTCAGCAAATAGAAGTAAACAAAGTAATATGGATAAGGAAGAAGTTGAAACAAAACCAGCAAGTGAAAGAAACACAAAGTCGACTAAGTTGTTCGACTTTGAAAATAATCTAATTAAAAATAAAGAAAAGTCAGGTTATGAAAATAAAAATGCCCATAGTCTTGTAGATGGGAATAAACAAAACATTATTGATAAAGAAGATGTTGAAACAAAGTCAGTGGATGGAAGAAAAACGAAAAGGTTTTCGGATATTTCCAATGTCATTAAAAACAGTTTTAATCAAGTTAACAATAAGGTAAATCCCAGGTACGTAACTGGAAGTACTCAGTGCTCTGTAGATATAAGTCAACAAAACAATATTGATAAGGGAGATGTTGAAACAAAACCAGCAAGTGGAAGAAACACGAACGTGTTTTCTGACTTTGAAAGTAATCTAATTAGAGATAAAGAAAAGTCAGGTTATGAAAATAAAAATGGCCATAGTTTTGTAGATGGGAATAAACAAAACATTACTGATAAAGAAGATGTTGAAACAAAATCAGTGGATGGAAGAAAAACAAAAAGGTTTTCTGATATTTCCAATGTCAATCAAAACAGTTTTAATCAAGTTAAAAATAAGGATAATCCCAGGTACGAAACTGGAGGTACTCAGTGCTCTATAGATATAAGTCAACAAAACAATATGGATAAGGGAGATGTTGAAACAAAACCAGCAAGTGGAAGAAACACGAACGTGTTTTCTGACTTTGAAAATAATCTAATAAGAGATAAAGAAAAGTCACATCACGAAAGTAGAAATGCTCGTCGTTCTCTAGATAGAAATCAACAAAATGATATTGATATGGAAGACTTGCATACAAAACTAGCTGATAGAACAAATACGAAAAAGTTAGTTGGTGCTGTAAATATGCAATTTCGAGATAAGGAAAAGTTCAGTTACGAAACTGAAAATAGGCATCATTCTGAAGACAGAAGAAAACAAGATGAAATTGTAAATGATGATACAAAACCAAAGGATATCAAAAATAATCAATTAGCGAATTTTGAATTATCAGAAAATGAAATCGAAAAAACCAGGCCTTCTTTTGAAAAAAAACACAAAATCGATATACATAAAGAGACTACTCAAACTAAACCATCTGGTACAACAAATACAAAAGAGTCATTCTCCATTAAAAATAGCAAAATTGAGTGTTATGAAAAACAAAATCACAAAACTGAAATTGTTCCTAGTAATTCGAATAGAAATATTTTAAAACTAATGGGTGAGAAAATTTGCAAAATAGTGAGTGACAAAAGTCGTCGACCTGAAGAAACAGGCGCTGATAAAAATATTGAAATGACAGGTAATGATAAAGCAAGTAGTAGAAAATCTACAAAAGAGCTTCCAGTCAATAAAAAAAATCAGAATCAAAATGAGAAACAGTACAAAAAGCACACTACAAATGTTAAACAACAAAAGCCTGATACGTCTGATGAAGCCAATAGACCAACTAAAATTGAAGCAGAGAGTGAGTTGAGCTATTCCAATGATGAAGAGATTGAAATGGTGGACAAAATTGTGCAAACTTCATCGTATAGAAATCTAACACTTGAAGATCTTGAAATACAAACTTCTAATACTCTTTTGGAGGGATTAAGGGACATTGAAAATAATAATAAAAGAGTCCCGAAAAGAAGTTCTAATCACTCAACCACAGAGTCACATAATTTAAAGAAAACGAACCGCAACAATAAAAAATGAAAACCGATTCGAGAAAATATGTAAGTTTTCTTCAAACTACTATTCTGCTATTCTGCAAATTATCCCTTTAAGTGTTGCAGTTAGTCACTAAAATATCTGTAATATCTTAGATATTATTTATTAGTATTCTTAACAAACGTGTTCACCTTATGTCTAGAAGCCAACTCCTCATGAACGACTAACTAAAAGCAGTGCACAATAAACAGTGTTGCCTTGTGCACTTTTCGGTAATGTATTATTTAAGTACTCTACAATATCAAAATTTTATCTCGAATTTTTTCAACTTTTGTTTATATCCGAAGATAACTATTAAAATTTACATATTCACTAGGAAACTATTGAATAGATTCGGGCTATGGAGCTGGTTTGACTGTTTTGTCTAATAATTGTTTAGATAGATTTAGATGGATACAACTTATATTTAATTATACGTAAATAATTTGTTTGTTACTGCAAGTCATTATCCAGCTGACCTAAAGCCTTATTTATTATACAAAATTTATTGAAACTGGAAAGTTTATTAAATATTCCTATATCTGATTTGCTTCTATGTATCAAATTAGAGGTTCTACATTTGGAAAATATTGTTCATGTTGCCCTTAACCTGGCTACAGAACAATTTGAGACTTCGTTGTAGCTGGCAAAGGCAGGGATTGTGTCAGGAGTTTTCATAAAACAGGTGTCCAGTCTAGCAAGCTCATCTGCACTTAACTGGAAGCATTTCCTACTATGTTGAAATGCCCGGGCACACAAATTAGAGTTACCTTGAACCTGCCGCTTAGTACATTCATGTAATACGTACATTCTTGCACTAATCTAGATGGAATCCAGTAAGTCAGTAAGAACATAGATTACCTCTTTCTGATTACCCTCTTTCTTTTCCATGTTGGTAATAGGAGAACATGTTTAAAAGCAGTTAATAAAAATTTTTTTAAATAGTTTCTGTACTACATTTGACTTTAGCTAAAAGCAATTTGTTTGAACAACAAAAGTTTTTAATAAGAAATTCTTAATTACTGACGAGTTCAGAAAGGTTTGCACTCATGTCCGTCTTTTGGTTCTAAACTTACTAAGGGTGAATCTTATTCTCTAGCAGATAGATGTGATATTTTGTTGCATAAGACATTTCTGTCTAATACATAATATATAAATATTAAATCTGTTCTGTCAGTCACTTTAGTTGCACACTGTTTGACGAAAAGCATCTGGCAATTACCTATAGTGTCGTGTCATTAAAAATATAAATTATTCAAGCCCTCTTTTGAAGAAGGGATTTAATTTCAGTGTTTAATATCAAAAAATCAAAAATTAGTAATAAAAAATTATCAAATTAAAAGTCGAGCTTTCAATTATAAATACCATTTAGGTTTTATTCGGTGAAATAACCCATGTATTTACAATTAGATATAATTGTTTGTCTTTTTTAATCAAATTAGAATGAAAATTCTTTAAATTAATTAAATATTTTTTCTAATTTCTTTCTTCACAGAAAAAGCGCCTGACATTGTAGAGATGATGGATTTTTAATTACATGTCGATTTGACGGCAAAAGATTCTCATTTAATTGCAATAACTTGAATTTCTGAACACTTAAATAAAATAAAAAATATTCAAATTATTTAGAAAGTGTAGGGAATGATAAAATATTTTTATATAATCAATTTAAGTAGACCAAGCTCTAAGTTGTAATCTCTATTCCGCAAAAAAGGTTTTAACTTTATTTTTTTATTTATGTGTTGGGCGATTAAAGCTTCTCTCATTTCATTTAAATGACTTCCAGTAATGAAACGTATAAGTTTGCATTATTAGAATTGACATGACAGTTTAGATTGCTGCACTGACAGTTGAGTTCAGTTAAAATCTCACGCTCATCAAGCATTTAATTTGCGTTAAGAATTTAGCATCCTTTTTTTGTTTGCTTTACATTCTTATTTTCCAGCAATTTTTTCCAACTCATAGTTCATTGGTTTTATTCGCCTCCCGGGGCAGGGGTGAAAGTTTTGATAACGGCGATGATACTGCCAATCCGCTGTCTCCGCACTGTATCAGCAGTCTAATTGCTGAACGCTGATGCTGAGCAATTTTACTTCAATTAAAATTACTTTGTTTGCATAAGCTGCTTTTAATTAAATTCTATTTTGTACACTCGCATTATGCGAATGGAGATAAACGCCTCCTTTCCACCTCGTATTTTCATTAATGCACGGAAGCGTTTCCTTGAATAATCCGCTACTTGTTAGTATGTGTGGAAATGCGAGAAAATGTGTGAAAATATGCTTTAATTAAGCGGTTTTCAGTCGAGTAATAAGAACTCGCATCGCGAACTCACCAATGTTAGTATATGAAGTGCTTTACGCACAATTTGTTTTAAATATAACAAAATATCCGACAAATAAAAATAATTTAAATATGCATTATATGCTTAATGCTATATTTTATTTGATTGAGTTTGCTTCGACATTCTATTATCTTAAATTGATTGAAACAACATTGCCAGAAACCAAACAAACAAGTACCTACTTTATTTATTATATACAATACTCAAACATTATATATTTTTTTAGATACACAGATACGATCAGAGACTTTCTGCAACACCTGCGCTACAGTAGTACGAAAAACAACACCAACAAACCATAACAATGTCAGCAACAAAAATCCTTAAGTTGGCAATTTTTTGGCAAATATTTATGGTGAATGCCACAAAACTGAAAATGGCCGTATTCCAGCATCAGTACAAAACCGAGGAACTTAAGTAAGCACATAAACATTTGTTTCTAATGCAAGACGTATATGTAAATATCATTGTATATGAATTTATCTGTGACATTATTTGGTGCTGCAACGGCAAGACCCCACATCCAAAATGTGCCACTGCAACAAAGAACAACAAATGCTGCAGCTCATCTCAGTAGTCCCAAACTATGGAATAAGTTGAAATTGTCTACAAGTGAAATTACAGCCAAGTTAACATAAACAAAATTTGTCATGCGGTCAACCAAAGGCAGACAACAGTCAGGATAAGTGCAGCTGTTACATGTTGCATGTTGCAGTGCAAATGCAACATTTTAAAATATTTTAACTTGCTAACAACTTTCATTTAGGTACGATATCGAGTAAATTTGGCTAACACATATTTTATAATTTCTATCATTTTGCTTAAAGTATAAAATTAAAGAAGAAATCCGCATAGACGCTAAGCTTACATGTACGAGAAGAGGATACTATTCAATGCTGCATTCTAGCACTATATTATTCTTATTTCGTACTATTTTTACAGAAAATGTTTGTGAAATAGTTTACCAATATTCATAATATTGTCTTCATTATCTTCATTTACATACTTATCAAAAACTACTAAAACAATACTATTTTCATATTTAATGTCACAATAATCATACTTTTTGTTACACATAAAAAACAATAAAAAAGGTAAAGTGAAAAAAAAAAAAATTGTATTTAAATTTTTTTCTTAATTTGTAAACATATTTTTATTGGCTTAAACATGTTCAACTGAAAAGAATTAACTGCGCCAAAATTCTTCATTACCTTCAACCGCTATTTAGAAATGAAAACCTCAATGCTAAGAACAGGAAACTGATATATACCCAAATAATTTGTCCGTCACTTCTATATGGTTGCGTAGCGTTTAGCAAAGCTTCAAACACTACTATTCACCAGTTAGAAATTGCACAAAGCCAGGCTCTGAGAAGATTTTTCAAAGTTCCTTGGTACATTAGGACGAATGACATCCTCAGGGACCTCAAGATTGATCCCATCAAAAAATACATAAAGGATAGAGCCCTGAAATTATTTGCGAAATCTGACAGTCTTACTAACACCGCGTTATTAAATCTCAGAATGGTTTCAGGTTCCTCGGGGAGATATGCAGATCTGAGGTCAATTATTGCTTAGTCTAATGAAGTGATAAACAAAAATCCAGTCAAGGCGCAAAGAGGGGTTTTTTAGAAA